GGAAAGACCCTGGACTGTTCGTGGTTGCGCTGGAGTAGCCGGCTGTCTTGCAAACCCACAGGAAGCACCTGGTAAATGGAAACCTGCCGGAGCTCGCCGCTTGTCCTCGGTGCCTGTGCAAGGCCCTGCCTGCCTGCCTCCCCCGCCCCCAGCGCAGCGCTGCCTGGTACGTGTGACAGGACACACGGGGAGGCCTAGATCTGTGGCTGTGGACGGCAGACAGCAGGGAAACGTGTCCTTCAGCTGCTGCGCCGTGAGAGCCATTTAGCCTACTTTGCCATGCCCCCATTATCTTCCCCCAGCGCTGTCTCAGTGCAGTGCTGGGAAGGACGCAGAGCCTCCGTCCTGTGGGGCTGGGCAGCAGAAGGGCAGGCGAGCCAGCAGCCCGGCGGGTGGGAAGACCGAAGCAGCTCCCTGGACGGCTCTCTGCGGACCGCCTCCGGCTGCGTTGAACCCGTCTCTCTAGGCCAGGTGCTCTAGCGGTGTATCACACCTGTGGCTGCAGTGCAGGCTTCCTGTGGCCTCTGCCAGGACCCATGACCCAGGGCAGGGAGAATGGTGCTCGACCCCCTCCTCGTGCCCAGTTGCATAGCTGTGGTCAGTACTCAGCACGTCTGGGTTTCAGGGCACAGGCGGCAGAGAGAGGCATTGCTCCTTGCAGGGACCAGTCCCTGGAGAGGCACGATCCCACCTCCTTCTCCCACTGGGCGTCGTGGTGTTTGCAGCACGGTGGTGGAAGCCCTCTCCTTGGCTGGCATTGTCATGCCTCGTGCGTGCCGACTGGCGTGCCTGGAAGCTAAGCAGCATCAGGCTGGGTGTCTAGTTGGATGCAAAACCATTCGCTCTCCTGTGATTCAGCGTGGGTGGTTCAGGAGATGCCACTTGTAGCTCTAAGGATTGGGCTGGGCCTATATGTCTGCCTGAGCAGCTGAGACACAACGGGTTGGGTGATATGTTTTACTGGACCAGCTGAAGGGTTGGAAGGGATGGCACAAAGTGTCCCTTCTTCCAGTCCCTTGTACCCAAAAGCTGGGCTGACACCTCTCCCAGCTGTACAGTTGGTCCAGTAAAAGAATCACCAAAAATCCCCTTGCTTCTCGCCTGTTCCTGGGCCATCGTGGCTCTGACCACACTCCTGCCCTACTGCTGGAGGAAATGCGGAGTAGCGGCTGATGGTCCCAGAGCTCAGAGTGCCCGGCTGCCCCCACGCTGATGGGTGTTACCCCCATCCCTCCCAGTCTACCGAGGCAGGGAGCAGATAAGCTGTCTCATGGGGAGCGCATTAGCGGGATGGTAGCCAGTCCCTTGATGCTTGTGCTTTAGTCTTCAGAGCAGTGTTAATGTGGCATCCGGACTGAATTTCATGGCTGGTCTCTGCCTCTTTCGAGTCCTCCCGGCCATCCGAGTTGTGCGGGGTAACCCTCACCCCATCTTGCAGCGGGTGTGTGCCGTGTCGCATGATCCGAGTTAAAACCAGAGGCTGTTCCACCCCAGAGCTGGCTGCATCTCCAGGCTGGGGAGAGCGTTCCTTGGAATCACCGGGGTCCGTCGAGATGAGGAGCCCCGTGGAAAGCGAGGGGTCGTATCGCTCTCATTTTAGGGGTAGCCCGGCCGGGAGACAGCCGTGAATTTAAAAGAACACGCACATTGTTCTGAGAGCTCCCAGGGGGGACGCGCTCCTCTCCCTGTTCCAGCTCTCAATTGTGTTTGAAGTTTAGCAGTTTTGATCTTAATTGGCATTTGCGAGCCTCCTGCCAGCAGCCACCATCCTGCTGGGGACTAACACGGTCGCCAGCCCCGTGTCAGGGAGCGGGAATCGGTTCCCGAGCAGCTTTTGTGCCAGGGCAAGGGTGGGCTGGAAGGGGCCTTTTCCCTCTCGGATACCGTGTGGGAGGAAATCCTGGCTCTGCTCTGACCAGAGGGGCTTCCTCAAAGGGCACAAGGCTCCTGCTTCCCCCAGGGCTGACCCAAACCTAGATCTCTGTTGCGCTGCCACTGGCCCCGCAGACAGGTCGGGGCAGTCTGCATCCAGCCTTGCCAAGAGGGACCTGGTTGCGCCTTGGTGCAGGCAGGTGTGACTTGTACAGAGGCCCGCGGGGGTCGCGAGGAGGGCTGGCTTCATGGCGGTGGCACGGGATGGGGCTCTGCCAGTCGCCCTTGCCCAAGCAAATCCATTTATGCCTCAGCTGCCTGCAGGTGGGGGCTGGCCCGGTGGCTCACACCGCGGGACCCTGCTTCTGGTGGAGCCCCGAGGCGCTCTGCAGTCGTGCCCAGCAGGCAGGTCCGTCGCTTCTCCTGTAATTATGCTCTGGGAGCAAGCGTGCAATCCGCTGCTGGTCCGCAGCCTCGGGGAGTGCATTTACCCCCAGGTGGCTTCAGGTCCCAAGAGATCCCCGCCGCCGCAGCCAGCCTGAATGCATGGGAGTTGAGTCTTGGATTGAGCAAAGGTTTGGTTTGCATTTCCCCCGCCCTTGACACTGCAGCTGTACCCAGGGAGGCACTTACACAGCCCAGGAGCCCAGACTCCGTCCCCGGCGCACCGCCGCAGCTGTGAGCTCATGCCGGGACCGCGGGCGAGCTCGGTGGGCGCGCAGGCGGGTGGGCGGGGGGGAAAGGCTTTTAGTGGCTGGACTTGATAAATGAAAACAAATAAACTTGACGGACAGGTGGACAGCTTTATGATAGCTTCATGTTGACAGGAAGAAAGATTGGTTGACGGTGGCTTGATAGAGAAATATCTTGATGGGAGTCACATAAAGAGATGTATAACCTTGATGACAGAGCGTGAGGAGTTGGCTGTAAAGGAGGAGGCTGCTGACAGGAGCACTAAAAAAAAAAAAAATCAAAGAAATCCTTGCTTTTTTGGTGGGGGGATGACACACCCGGCGGTCACCCTGGTTTGCAAACAGATTTGCTAAGCCAATAACCACCGTGATCCACCCATCCACACACCAGAGCCAGGACGCTTTCCAGTGCGGCTCTACAGGGGAAAACCAACCCCCCTGCCGCACGAGAAGCAGAGGAGATTAAGAGCCGGCTTTACAAAGGTATTTAGAAGCTGGAACGTGAGGACAGACACGCAGGGACATTTACCAAAGCGCCCGGGCTGTTAATTCCCATTGATTTCAGTGGGTGTCCAGGTGCTTTTGAAAATGCCACGAGGTTGCGTATCCATGTCATTAGTGTCTAAATCCCTTTGTTCGGCCTGGGTTTTAGCAGCAGCGCATGGGCGGCTTTGCAGAGCTGGCAGAACCCCGGGAAAGGCAGGTTCGAACCCTAGCAGCGCCGGCTCGCCCTGGCACCGCGGTTTGAACCTGGAAGGGAGCGGCCGCTCCCCCACAATGGCACTAGGGTGGAGGGTCCCCCACGCTCAGCAGGGTTTGGTGATCATTGCCACAGCTGGGTGGATCCTGTCCTGTACCCGGGTCTTTCAGATGAGACCCTAAACAAGCACGCTTCTGTGTGAGTACCCGGGGTGGGGGGTCCCGGGTGTGCTGGGGCGGCATCTCCAGGCAGGATGCGTGCTGCTGGTAGCGCCCCACAGACCTGAACGACTGAGCTCTGCTCAGTCGATATAATCGGGAGCCAAATTGGCTCGAGACAAGAAATTAAAAAAAAAAAGTCCTGCCTGCCAGCTTGGACTGCAAAGATCCCCCTGGGTTTGTTTCGGTGCCCCAGCCTGGTGCTCCCCTCCCCGCCCTTTGTGCCACTTCTTTAACATTAAATAAACCCTCTCCTGCTGCTCTGGTCCCAAACCCCGCCGTTTCCACCTCGGCTCCGCAGGATCCGGGCCCACGCTGTCGTACCTCTGTGCAGAGGTGGGCCCCGGCCTGCCAGCTGGCAGCCCCTTGGCCCAGATCTCAGCGTGAATGACGCCTGCGAGGGGCCTGGGGATGCAAGCGGCTGCACGGGGCTGGGAATGGAAAGGGAGGGGGCTGCCGGGGCCTGGATCCCTGCCCTGATTTCCTGCAGGCGCTAGTCTGCACAGAAGCCAGAGGTAAATGCAGACAGGTGGGGGGGAGAGGCGGGGGGATCTGATGCTGGGGTGTGTTGGAGCTGGGCTGGAGGGGCACAGCTTTGCCCCTCCCTCTTCATCCATGCCAGGCTCCCTGCCCCTTCCTCTGGGCTCTTCCAGCCCTCTGCCTATGGGGCCCCTCCACAAACCCTATGTTCAGTGCCACTCGCTGAGACACAGAAACACCTCCCCGCAAAAAGGCAGCCAGGAAGCAACCCCCCAGCACAGCCAGCACTGGACCAGGTCTCCCCCCTGCCCAGCACACCCGGGACTGGACCAGGTGCCCCCCAGCACACCTTGGATTGGACCAGTTTCCCCCAGCACACCCAGGACTGGACCAATTTCCCCCCAACACACCTTGGATTGGACCAGGCGCCCCCCAG